TCTTATAAAGGAGAGTTATGAGGAACCTAACAATTTATTTTAGTAAAAAAAAAAAGTGCCTGTAGTCAAAATAAGACAAGACAGGGATACTGGTGTGATGCTGTTAAGGTGTAAGTTATTTTATGTGACAGCTGCACATTAAAGCTCTAAAAGTTTAAACCTGATTCAGTTAAACCTGATAATCAACAAGTGCATTTTGGTCTGACACCGTCCCATAATGAAGAGTTAGAGACGGGCTGGAAATCACTTCTGTTATGGGCCAAATCAAAGGGAAAGTAATGCCACTGATTGAATATTGTCTGTAAAAAATATAAATGGTCTGCACTCATATAGAACTTTTCTACTGTAGTAGTAAACACAACAACAACTAATTTCTATTGACTACTTGATTTTCTAATGCATGTTCTTTTAGTTGCAGCACCAACAGTGTCAAATGAACTCGGCAGCAAAACAGGACGGAGTATAAAAGCATATTTATGCATTATCTGCACCACTGCATTTGTAGTTTACCTGCCTGGTTTTCACATTGAAATAAGTGAAGCTTGTTGTCAACCTGTGTCATGTTGGTGGGTCCTGATAAGCCAGTGGTGTCAGTACCGTTATGAGCTTATGATGACTCTTCTTGCATGTAGTTGTGCAGCCCCTCACTTCACCTCTCCTCATTGTTCTCCCAGTCTGCCCTCCAGTGCAGCTCCAGGCGTCCTGCCTCGGTGGGGAGGCCGGAAACAGGAAGCCCGCTGGGCAGCATGGAGAGGAGGCTGCGTGGGGCGGTGCAGCGCTGCTGGAAGGAGATCCAGAGGAAGTGCAGTGAGCTAGATCCTCAGCGAGAGGGCTGCATCAGTGCTGCCTCCTTCCTGGGTAAGAGGCAAACCACAGAAGATCATATATGTCACTGAGCTTTCCCTCCTACATGCTGTATGCTAATGTACATGCTCATGGCTGTGTTCCAGGGATCCTCCAGGCTCTCAGTATTAGGATGACTGAAGAGCAGTTCGAACATCTGGCTGTGAAGCTGGACATCATGAATAATGGCCATGTTTCTTATCACAACTTCCTTCGTCACTTCCTCCTGAACCTCAAACCGGCAGAGACCCAGAGGGCGTTTGAACGACGAAGGCTTCCTCTTCCCGTTGAATCGGTAAAAAAAACAAACCAAAATCTTTTGTTTTATTTACATTTTAATGTCTGTTGGAACTCTTGTAAGACAATGAATGAGCTTTAGATCCACTGAAAAACACACCCTTTATATTGAGTTGACTTTGGGATATTTGGCAAAAATATGATCTCATGGTTATGTGCAGGTAGACAGATAACCTCTTCGCATTCAGTCGATCAGCTGATTTCAGTCAAACATTGTGGACTTTTTTGTACAAATGGTAAACTATCGTGTAAGGGTGAGCAGCTCCACTGACGATAACACACACATCAGCTTTCAAACTCATGTCTCCTAGTTCCCTACAAACCTGATCTTGTTTAGCCTCTATTCTTGCTGAATGGGTTGCCAAGCAAACATTCCCTGTGGACACTGCTTACACANCAATCATGTCGTCATATCAGGATCATGATAACTCATCAGATCCAAGCTTCAGTTTGTCCTGTAATGTACGTTTGTGACAAAATACCTGCAAAATATCGACATTCCCGTCCGTCTCAGCTGCTCTTCGTCTTTTGTGCATTGAGCTCAAAACACTGAGGAACCGTAGCTTCATAAACCTCTGAACATGTAGACAGTGTCCAACAATCACTTTATATTTACAATAGAATCCACTATAGTTACTGTTGTATTTCAGCTCCCGTAAAGTTTCAGTGTGAAAAACAAAGCTAAGACTTTTAAATTCTGAGGAATTACTCAGGAACGAACGACGAAAGAACGAGGAACTAAACTGCTAATGATCAAACGTTTTAGAGTAGCTAAAGATTAATGACTCGTTAATTATGAAATGAGATACTAGATTAATGAATCATTAGGTCATGATTAGTTCATGAATATCTGTTATACCTCAATCAATCCATCATGAACTAACCCTTCAGTGAGCTTTAGCTGCTCTACAAAGCTTGATGATGCTCCTCTATCCCACAATGCACCACACTGTACAGATTACATGAAAGCTCCACAGATATCAACAGTGATGCAAAACGGATGATAACAACTGTCTGGAATCTCAGTTTATTCCTCACATTCCTTTATGTGAGCAGTGAAGAACAAAGCAGTTATTTTGGACACATCTTGCCTCCAGTCTTTATGCTGAGCTGAAACACCCATGTCATGACTTCAGCTCTGTTCTTAACGCCCAACATGAAGAGGCACTGATCTTCTCTGCTCACCTTTTTAAAAGAAGCATGTAAGCCTGAACATTTCCCAACTTGTCTGTCAGACACATGTCCTCCTCCTTCTCTTAATGCTACAGCTATTAGAGAGAGCTCAGCGTGGCGGCAGGCAGCGAGGGACTGACAGCAGACCTCCCACCCAGACCCAGCCTCCTGGCGTCACCCAGCTTCTGCAGCAGATGCACTCACTGGTCTCAGGCCACTTGTATGAAATCACCAGAGAGCTGACGGACTTGGACCCCTGCAGCAGCGCCACAGTGTCCAAAGAGCACTTCAGACAGATTTGTGATCGCCACCACCTGAGACTCACAAACGATCAGGTAAAGCCAGAGAAAGTGTTTACAACGGCTCGTGTTCTAGTGCATTATAACTCGGAGAATTCAGAGAGGAGTCGTTCAGGAGAAGCTTTCCAACAACTCTCCCTGTGCTTTCAAGCTGAAACAACACAGCCTGGCATCAATCCACGCTTCCAAATGAGAGGAGGAATCTCAATTTTGGTACATTTGCCAGCTCTGTTCTTTTTAGACTATGTTTTCTTTAATTATTCTAATCACAATCTAATTTATCTTTGTTGATAATTATAGACTGCGTGAGAAAGTTAGTCATCTGTAAAGCCAATTTGCGTGCTGTGTGTAACTCACTGTGGGTATTAGTCCCCACAGTGTGGATGATGATTATGTGTGTGTGTGTTTTCTTTTGCCTCTCAGTTTGAGTGTGTGTGGAGTCAGATGCCTTTGAATGAGCAGAGGAAGCTGCAGTACCGAGAGTTTCTGAAGCGGTTTGGTGCACTGGGCGCTGAACGGTCACCTGAGCCGACCAGAGAAACACAGCATGGATGCTCGGATGCTGGAGGTTCCACTGTGCACCGCACCAAGGTAGAGCACAAGACACCAAACAAGACACCGCACAAGACACCACACAAGACACCACACCAAGGTAGAGCACACGACACCGCACAAGACAACGCACAAGACACCACAAGACACCACACAAGACACCGCACAAGACACCACACCAAGGTAGAGCACAAGACACCGCACACGTCACCGCACAAGAGACCACACACCCGTGTTATACACCAAACCTGACCGACTATAGCTTTAAAAAAAAATAAATCACTGCTTTAAAAGTAAAAAAATAAAAATAAATTCAAGCTAAGTGCCTGTGTTTAGTTTAGCTGCACCGAACAGTCAGTTTTTATACTTTAAAAGTAAATGCTGCACTTTTATCTGCATGACAGCAGCTTTGCAAAGCCAGACGAGCTCAGCTTGTTTCTATGAGAAATGTATTCATGCCTCAGTCCTAAGTGTGACATCACAGTTTGAGCAAAATCATCATGTAGTTTGATTTAAACAAACTCCTATTCTGTGCTCAAGATGCATTTATCTATTGTCTATTATCGAGTGACAGAATCATAATCACCTTCGACACAGTTTTAGTTTATTTCAACCTG